GTGGGTTTTCCCATCCTCAATCAATCAATCGATCAGGGATCCCGCGCTGTCCGACATTCCGCAGAGTTCCGCCTAACGAGATGGAATATCGATTTCCCCGCGGTCACAACTTCACTATTCGCCTCCCCCTCGCTGAAACGGAGAGAGAGGGAAAAGAAACGGTAAAACTTCAATAGACTTTTCTTTGGTCTTCATAGTTTTCTGCTTCAGACTGCGGCCGCGAACAAACCTGGTGAAAGGACTCGACTGGAAAGCTGACCCGCTTTCTGGTTTTCTCTTCCGTTTGGATCCACCTGACGTTGACGTTTGTAGTTGGTCGCAATTCCTTGTCTGCATCTTCCTGTGCCTATTGGGCTCTTCGACTATTCCGTCAATTTCTCCGTCTGTCCCTACGCTGCCTGCTCCGTCTATCGGTCGGTGCGTCCCACCCGCTGCCGAGTGGCGTTGAAGTCGTCGGTGCCGCGCACGCTGTTGTCATTGAAAATTGAATAGTTCCAACACAATAAGTTTGCCGGAGGGTCTATCTCTGATCATTGGGTGTCGTTCCTCGAATTCGCCCCTTCGTGACGATTTCCGTCGGCACATGTGTTCGATCCGCCTCCTCGCGACCGGAAAGGAACTTTTCCTCCGCATGGGTTGAATTCTTTCCGATGTTTGTCTCGTTTTTCTGTAAAAGCGAAGAAGGTGTTGCTCGGGGCTTGAGCTTCACGTCGGCCCCCTAACGTGAGTTTTCCTTTTTGCTCGTATTCATCGCCCTCGGAGCTTCCTATCCATCGAACCGCTCGCAGGGCCTTCATTGAAGTCGGCTTCCGCATTAAGAACGCGCACCCCGAACTCCACTGATTCCGTCGCTCTGCGTAGCGTCAGACCGCGATTCACCAGCCTCATTTATCGCCGAGTTTTCGCCCTCATCACAAAGCCACCGAAATTCTCTACCTTATCCTTTGAATGAACCGAATGACTCCGCCCGAGATCTCCCTCTAAGTCTCGCTCCAAACTGAGATAGGGAGAACGCTCCATTGACAAGCCAATCATCGACGTTTTTTGACCTTCCGCTCGCCATGTGGACCGGGAGCTGAGACTGTCGAAGCACAGACGATACCTCAATGGTCTCAGGGGGTGAGTTAGTTTGGAGCGTCGCTCTGACGAAAGCGAAAAACTGTCGATCGACACTCTTCCGGTGTCGAGCCCTCAGACCTGAGTGAGAAGAACTTCACCGCTTTTCGTATCGCTGGCCGCCGGTGCTGCCTTTATCGCGAACGTTCCAAGAGCAAGCATCGGGACGCGATTTCAGTGCTTTATTGTACGATAACTGTCTGCGTGGGTGTTTGGTGTAATATTATCGCGAATCGGGGGGCGAAAACTGAAAGTGCTCCGTTGCAGCCGGAAAGAAATCGTCTGCGAGGGAAGTTTTTAGACGACGGGAATCCACCGACTGACATCGATACAGAGCCACCTGCCTCAATCCGTTTTCACCGCATCGTTCTTGATTTTGTGATTTTCCACCGTAACAACCTTGTTCGGTCTCCCCATACCGGCAGAACAAGTGGCGATAATCAGGGACTCCTGAGTCACTCGGAGCACGCGCAGAGAAAGGATGGCGGCTATCGATGTTCAGCGAAGCAACATCCTAGTCGTTGGCACTGAGAATTTGCTCCATCGGTCACGGCTGTCTCACTTCAGTCAGCTGGGATGAAAATTAGCGAGACGGACTGCAGAAATACACAGCATGAAACCTTTGTTCGCAAATTTCAACCTTCACTCGAACACCAGGGAACTACACGATCCGGTTCCCGTCCGAGTTTAGATGCTACTTGAGATTTTAACTTGATCTTCCGCTTTGTTATTCGATACCGATGGACAGGAAGCTGAATGCCCTGAACAAGATCAGGAGTCACCGCTTACTGTAAATATTATATTATTTATATTCAAAATTCCTGACATGGGATGCATGTTTGAATCTTAGACCAAGGGTTATCCTGTCCGTTTCGCATTGTGAGATTCTCTCGGAGCAGTCGAACGAAAATCTCAAGAATACCTCACTCGGGTCGAGGCTAATCCGAACCAGAAGAAATGCAGGAAAAAAATATGAAAAACTCACACATTTCATGCATGGAAATATATCGTTCTGAAAATTTGTTCGCAATAGTGACACCGCTCACCGGCGACGTTGACCTCAAGAGACAGACGAGACGTTTTCGAAGACTGAAGTGAAGCTCCGTGGGAATTCCGTTAAAAAGGTCAATGCTGCAAACAGAATTGAGCGTCGTGACGACAACGCCACCAACGTCAACGACGGTGTCACCTATAAACGCATGCATTTCGAACTTCCCACGAGCATATCACACCAGAATCTTCGTCGAGCTTCTAACCGGGACCGACTAAGAGCGTATCGCTCGAGCGAAATGCTCAAGGACTCTTCTCGAGAATTGTCGAGTCCGCCATCCGATCTCCCGAGGAACCCATTTTTCCCGTGGAGGAACAATCGGTCCATCCCGATAAGTTCCCCGATGAGAGAGCATACACAGAAGAAATTTTAAACGACTGTGGTACAGACGAGGACGCAGCCGGAATTCGCAGCTCCAAAGCACATAAAGACGTTCGCTGGCTTTTCACATTTCGTCTCCACGACAATGAGGAAAGGAGAATGATCGACTATTTGGAATGTTTGTTCTCGGTCGATCGATTACTTTTTTTGTGAGGGACAGATGGATGCACTTGTCTAGAATGCAACATGTCTCACAGGAACGTAAAGCAGCGAATAGTCAACAATGTCTATCCTCATTTCTACGCTTGAATCCAGACAAGAGGACGAATTCTCCGTCCGCTTCTCAGCGCGCTTCCTCCATAGCTTTTAATTCGTATCTCGGACGCCGCTCCGCCATCTGGGCAAAGTCAGGCAACTCGAACCGATCAAATCAAGTCAGTAGAACGGAATAACATCTTCGGGAAAAGACACGTAAAAACTCTTCAATGGCAGGATAAAACTACAGGAGAGGCTCACTGCGAGTTTTAATCTCGATATTTTTCGCCGCCGACCGTCCGCCTGAAGTTCTGTAACACGGCGCTAATAAAAAGCTTAGGTCCGGGGTTTCCGCGCTCAAGTGGATTTTTCTAGGTTATCGCCATGCGATTAGATCGGAGGAATCTTCTTCATCGGTTTCTGAGATTTCCTGGATGATTCGCTCCGCATTCTCAAACAGAATCAAAACATTTTTCCACACGTTAATGCTTCGAAGAAGCGTCCAGCTAACGGAAAGTCCATTTTTGAACCTTACGCATTCCAGAGCTGTGATTCATGAGTCATGATCCGTACTATCACCATTTTTTCGAATCCACGCTCGTCTTCGATCAGAATGAGCATGCTATTCTCAATACCGAAAGGCAGAAGAATCGTTGGGTATGACCATCAAAAATTTGACGAGTACCTCATCATCGATGATAAATAATAATCAATTAAGCCGGTAATTATTTCTCGGGAGGAATGAATCGGATACAGTGATTCTATTCGCCCGAGATTCACGCGCGATATAAGCACAATGGCCCACGGTGACCTTCCCGTTTCAATCCGTTTTTCGACTAGCGTGATAGTTTCTGGAGTCGAGAAAATGAATTCTAATTATATCGAAGGCATCAAACACCTCCCACATTTACCAATCAAGCTCTGAATGCGGAGCCGTGCCGAGACTGACATTGTAGAGCCGCGCGACGGTCGCTGGCCCCCTCGCTTGACCACTGCCGTTCATTTTGATATTGCCGGTGAGCAGTCCGACAGTGAAAGTTAGCAACGACGGGACGCTGAAGTCTTTCCAGATGCCGGAGGGCCTCTCTGCCATTTTTGCCTCCAGGAGCGTCATCACTGAAATCGTCCGTCCCTCCGTGCGAAATCATGCCGGGAATGAGTCCCGTCCGAACGAGAACAGGGAAGACCCGGCATGGGGCGACAACCCCGGCCAGGAACAGCACCCAGGTGGATTGAGCTTGACACTGCAGCTACTTAACAGCTGATAAATCTACGGGAATACGAACGATTCGCTCCAATATACCGGCGTATCAATCGGGTCGGAGTCAACAGTCGACATGGAACTCCTGAAGTGACTAGAGCAGCGACGGCAAGGAAAATAGCTCTGAGGGGTCACTTAGCGATCTGGAGCGATTGTGTCGAGAATTTTCGAAAATCGCTGAATCTTCTGAAGCGAGCCGATCGATCGCTTCTCAGTGCCACAGGCTGAATCGGATACTTCTCAAGTATCGACGACGACGCTGGAATCCAATGAATCTTTGACATTTCTGACCCCGTTCAGTCTCTCGACAGCGCGCTCCTTCCGCGGCCGTACCAGATAGACCTCATACCGCGGTGGTGGTACGAAGCGAGCGACGAACTCAGGTAGCGCCGTTGCCAACTTGGCTTCGGAACCCTAGTTGGTCGGATGGATCTTGAATCTTGCTGAACTGACGGGTTGCTGTTTGCTGCTTGTCCTATAGAACCGCCGCTGCTTCTTCTTCTTCTGCTGCTGGTGCTGGCGCAGCCGCCGCCGTCGCGAGGGGCTCCGTCTAACTTCGGTCTTGGCTGTTGGCGTTCTTCGGTGGCGCTGCTCGGCAAGAAGACGTCGACAGCGGCGCTTCATCCCCGGGGTGAGGGCGAAGAACTCGTTTGACGGTCTTCGGGTCGGCTTCACCGTCACACAGTTCCCTTCGGTGGTTGCTGGTGTTGTAGGGCTAGGCGGTACATACGATTTTTAAAACGTTTGACCAACGAGTTCCAGCGCTCTCGACTGCTACTGCCACCACCAGCAACTCGGCCGACATCGAGAAATTAGTTCCCTCCGAGTCGAGTTCTCCCAAGTGCTGATCTCAATCGACTCGGACCGCGAAGAGACCGGCTGGATTGTGTTTGGTGTTTGACAAGTGCAGGGCTGACCGGCCTCCAAGTGCCAAAACGAACATGAGGTTCTGAGACAAGTATTTTGCTTCAACTGGGAATACCTTTTAGGAATACCATGGTTAAACTAGCAGTGACCTTACTCATAGGAGGAGCTGTTCTCCTCCAACAGGTGAGCATTCCAAAGAAGAATAGCTGTCATAAATCCATGCATCCATCCATCCATCCGTTCGCTAGCTCGTTCCTTCGCCATTCCTCGGCGTACAAGTCTTTCTGAGCTGAAGATACGTCCCGGATAAGCTAGAAGGATAGAGGGAAGAGATCGAACCCGCCACGCACTGGACGTTTCTGTCGATCCCATGAGCTGTACCGCTAGGTGAGCGGCAGATATTGCGACGGACAGAGCGGATGACACACGATCTTCCCTAAGAACAACGGCGCTCGATGTCAGGTGGTGCCTCATAACGGCACCTGGTAATAGTTTCTCCCCGAGCAAAGTTGATTAGCCTCCTGTTCGCCAAAAGCCTCGAATGCCGTGCTCGCCGAAATTCGTCGTGGTTTTCAAGTAAACGGACGGACGCAGGGGTTGCTTGATTGATCGATTGATCAAAGAATGAAGAAGAATAAGAAAAAGGGTAACTACCCTAGCTGATGAAACTCACTGATTTGTTTACGAGGGCCACTTTGGCGGTGGACGGCTGACGAGTGACCACCTCGACCACCATCGACACCACCAACTTTACATCGGTAGATGCCGCGGCAGACACAGAGACATAGGCCAAAAGTCGTTGAGGTGAAGATTGCACCACGAGTAATTATTGTGATACGTGGATGGATTGTTCGAAGCATCGTTCCTCCTCTTTGGGTTCATTGTCGAATTTTAGCGCAGCTCTCAGATGACTTTCATTGACACCGCTTATTTGCCCATGCCCTTATATCGTTTTTTTCATAGTTGAATTCCTCACTGCACCCGAGACGTTTTCCGAGACAAGGTCTCGGAGTTCCGGGGCTCGATTCGTCATCGCAATCTGTTTTTGCAGTTGATCCGCTCACCCGGGTGCGTGCCCTGATCGCTTCGTATTCAAGGAGCTCACATTCTAGGCTCCATCGTTTAAGAGCTCGGGGCACGCGGCCGATCCGTGCTCATCTTTCTGGACAGGTTCTCAAATCTCGCTGTAGCCGCTCGCTGCCCGAAAACTTCGTCACGTTTCAAACCGTTACCGTCGGATGCTCGCGTGACATCTATCGATTCAACTCTTTAATTGAAATCCCATCTCGTTCTTCTCCTTCGAGTCGCTCTCCGCGTAAAGCGACCGACCGACTGAGCGACCGACTGACAGAGACATCAGAGGCGACATTCAATACAGTCATTTGTAAGGGGCAGATCGTTGTCTTAGATTGCACCAGCAAATAGTGTGTTCGTTCACAATCTCCATCAGTGCTCGTTTCCTCTCGGAACTGAACGGATCGCGGCTTCTTCTCGGAGCAACACACCGATCAGTTTTCTGCAGGCGGGCCGGCCGGTGGCGATCGATGACTCTGTGGTGGAAAATGTTACGAACCGCTTGATCTGCTCATAATCTGACTAGCTGAGCCGCCTTGGGGCCGCGCCTGGCGTTAGCCTGGTGATGCCCCCCGACTAAGCGGGAGAGCGTCGAGACATCGTTCTGGGGCGCTTCCATAGAAATTCGTGCGTGGCCTCACTTTCTGTGGCCTAATTTGAATTTCATCCGAGTCGAAAAAGTGGGAGTTTTTTCGACGGTTTCGTGTCACTCTTTCATTCATTCAGCGAGTCAGTCGGTCGCTTGTTCGAGCGAGGAGCCCGTGAGTCAGATCCAGAAAAGTTCAAGTCGCTATCGACCATCCGCCGACTGTGCGCTTTACTTCACCCACGGCTGTACTACATTGTGCGTATCCATAAACTCTCTCGGAATCCGCTGTGTGCATTAGAAATTTGAATATGGTATCCGTCGACCATTAAGCCGTCTTGATTCTCAGCAGGCCGACGTTTCCTAACCGATCCATCGGGAGGCAAGAAATATACGAATCGGGAAGGAAAAAAAAACGATGGCACAAAGAACGAAAGAAATACTCACATCCGACTGACTTGTTGCTCAACCCATTCAGCGTTGGGCCGACGTCGACGTTTGGATGACACTATTTCTGTAATATTGTGACATTGCGTTCGTTCCACAACAACTTCTCCAAAATCGACTTCCAGTTCGTGCTGGTCGACTCTTCCCTGTTTTTTCTCCTCTTCCCCCGGCTCGGGACTTTTCCATGTCAAAGGTCGAAGTCTGAAATTGTATACGATAGACTCTCTACCGGATTTCTCCCCCCGATCGTGTACGCCGGTCTGATCGTGTCGAAGTGAATCCGCAGCTCCGAAGATCTCCGCTCGGATCGGAGTAGGAGGCAATAAGGCTTCCGCGAACCATTCGGGGAGAAGCCTCGGAATTGAAACCTGTTTCGGAATCTCAACCGGGGTGTTCTTGACCAAGTGAATTGCGGGAGCCGACGCCCCCCGTCTGTTCGACGCCCGCCCACCCGCTCAAACTCATTGAATTGACCTCATCACTGACTCGCTCGTTGACGTTCTTTTTGATATTACGCAACGGATGTCGAGTCTCACTCTTTTTTCGCCTATGATATAAGTCGCCGGCGTGGGTCTGTTGACAACAGTCGACTCTCTCGTAGTGCCCACATCTGGTTTCGCTGCCCCATGGCTCAAGTCCAAGAGTGATCGTTGCCAGACGCTCATGCATTCAAGTTATCGTTAGAATCTCTGCTTCTCAGTCACTCTTGTCGTTGTTCCGGTGGACTGGAATGCTACGAACATTCAAAAATTCCCTGATTTGGGGCAGTTCAAACTCCGTCCATCAAATGGGGCGAACGAGTAGTTTTCATCAGGGGCTGTAAATTGAGACTCGAAAACCGTATAGTTTGAGACTTTCGTCATATTTTGAGCTCAACCCGGAGGCGGCACCGCTAAACTTCTTCGACGATGACAGATATTCGTTCGCCGCAGATATCCATTCGATTGCTCGTCGAATGACTAGCGATCATTCTCGGTGGAATGAATGACGCGATGGCTTTAAGTCACACGGAGCGAAGAGGTGGACATAGATAGGGAATGTATGCGGATTTCATGAATCTCCAGAATTGATCCCGAACAGAGGAATCCTTGAGACACGGAATCATACGTGTGCTGGTTGAAACCCAGTCTATCAGCGGTGGACAGCGCAGCCAATCAGCTGATTCCTCCGGTAGAAATATCTGGAACTCGGATACTGAATGGAGCAAATTGAATCGTTCTTCTTCTTCTCTTTATTTTTATTGTATCTAGTATTTCCGATATCGCCTCCTCTGCGGCCGCTGCGTCGACCCGGTGCGATACGTGGGGTGGGTGGCGTAAAAACACTAGACCCGATGAAGGAACGGACGGACGGACGAATGCACGGGCGGGCAAGCAGACGGATGGGCGGGCGGGCGGGCGAGCGAACGGATAGGAAGGATAGATGGGGCCGGAACTTTCACCAATCGGATATTTCGCGGGTTGAGGGTCTCCAACGCTCCGTCTCTCGGACAGCTCGAGCGAGCACTGCTTGCGGAGATTACGTACAGCTAATGATCACGCGGGAGCAGCAGAACTAGATCGGCCTTCGCTCGTAAAAAAACGATAAGACGACGACGGTCATTGTAAAATTGCTTTCCGTTTTTGTGAAATCGTCCGTTAAAGTTGTCCGTGCTCAAGCTCAAAGTCGGTCGTCGTCGTCGCGGATAGTGTAAATCATCGCAGCAACTCGACTCGATCCTTGAGATCTTCCCGGCCCGCTCCGAAGTCCAGCATTGAGGGTTTGGCATCTCGAGCCTTGACAGCTAGTCGACCAGCCGGCGGGTTGGCCAGCCGGCAGGCGAGCAGTCGACGCCAAGTTCAAGACCCGAGTGATTGACGGCCATTGAGAGCTATTCGAACAGAACAGTTTGTTTCAGACCGAGCGAAGAAATTACGCTCGGCAAGAAGAACCTCATTTGTTCTGATAGACCTCGCGACGAACATCCGATTATTCATTTCGTCCCCCGCGAGCTCGTCCTCGACCACGTGCAGACGGATTCAACGGCTCCGACGGCGGAACAAAGAGGAGCGTGTTCCAGGGAGAGAAGGAAAACAACGTGTAAAACAAGCGGGGGGCTTGTATGGAGCCTTTGCGTGAGTGAGTCCTTACGCGAGCCGATCAAACTGGACGGCGAACGACTAGAGCACGTGGACTGCTTCCTGCTGCTTGCACCGCTAGCGTTTCACTGAGTAGGGCAAGTGACGTCGAGCCAACTGGGTTACGTCGGAACGAACGGAGAATCTGCCAAGTCAGTCAGACAAACGCACGGACGCACAGACTGGATGGCCTTAGGCGCTGTCTGCTGTCGCATCCATTCCTCCGTTCATCTATGCGTCGGTCGCTCGCTCGGTCCATGCGTCCCTTCATTCATGCATGCATCCATCCGCGCGTTCCTTCGTCCACCTGGGCATGAGGAGCTCGTCTCGACGACTGGATATTCTGCCGCTACGCACAGAAGAAGAAGAAGAACCGTTTCCCAGAAAATGCCAACCGAGCGACCCACCGACGAATCCATGATCAACAAACCGACGAGCAAGACGGCAACTTGGCAAAACACCAAAACGCGGCGTTCGACCGACCGGCCGGCCGGTCGACCGATCGCGCGGCCCGCCGATAGGTCGGGCTGTCAGAGACACGGCGCTTTGCACGAATTTGTCCATAACTTGCCACTCGGAGTTGGATCAAGCGGCCAATCAAGCAAGCGACCGAACAGCCAGCAACACGACCGACCGTGCAGGTTGTCGCACATGGAGCCGACTGCGGCGGAGGAATGCATATGAATTAATGCAAGTGAGATAATTTTGAATCTCCGCGAGGGTCCATCCATTTGATGTAACGAGAGGACCTCTCGAAGGAGATGCAGTCGACGAGATGGATCCTCCTCTTCCGGTCTGATGGCTCGGAGCCACCGCGAGGGACTCGCGTAATAGAAACCTGCCTGACTTGAACGGCTAAAGTTCCGAGGAATAATAATTCTTCATCGACTCACGGTCAACGAGAACGAGGGAATTCACCCATGGGAGTAGAATTCTGAGTGAGAATCAACACTGGGAGC